CACCAGGCGGATCCCGCGCCCACGGCCCCGATGAAGATGGGCCTTGGAGGCCTCCACCTGCCGGGAGCGGATGAGCGACCGCTCGGCCAGGTCGAACCAGCCCGCGCACGTCACCTGGAGGTCCGACAGCGGGGCTTGCAGCTCCGCCAGCTCACGCTGCGTCTCCTGCTCCGTGGCAGGCCGTGGCCCAGCAGCCTCGCCAGCGTCCGTCGCGGGGCTCACCTCCGGCTTCTTGGCCACCGAGAATGGCCGCCTGGGGTCCTCGACCCAGACCTTTGGCTTGCTCCAAACACGGTCGAGGGAGCAGCCGACCTGGTCGTGAGACCCCGCCGGCGTTCCAGCAAACGCCCGCGCAGCCGACGCGCAGGAAGACAAGGACCTCGATACCACGAAGTAGTCGTAGTCGTTGTCACCGCAAGTCGGGGCACCACTGCTGATGAGGAGGCCATCGATCTCGTCGAGCCAGCCGCTGGAGGCGAGGTCGTCCGCGTCGACGTTCCAGTCCCCTGCCAGGAGGAATGGGGCGTGGTGCTGCCCCACGAGCGCAGCGACCTCCGCCAGGAGCGTGATGTTGTCGCCCGTCAGCCCGATCGACGTGATCAGGTATACCGAGAGGCACAGGAAGACCGAGCCCTCGCCGAGGTGGATCTTCCTCGCCACGATGCGGCGCGCCCACTCCGTGGGAACGTCGATGCCCGCGTGCACGCCGACGTGGGCCGCGAAGCACAAGCCGACGCCCCCGCTGACCGCCAGGCGCTCCGTCCCGACCCGAAGCGGCGGACCCAGGGCCATATGGCAGCCTTGGCCAAGGCACCACTGCCGAGTCGCCCCGGCTGCCTCGTCGTCGGGGAACCTGGTCTCTTGGATGAAGACGACGTCGAACTGTCGCTTGGCCGCGGCGTTCCACTCGAGCACCCTCTGAGCGCCGCTCCACGTGTCCCCGTTAATGGTGAGTAGCGTCAGCGAGTCGCCTCGCACCGCCGGCGGCTGGGGGAGGAGCTGCGCCAGCTCCAGCGGCGCCGCGCGCGGAGCTCCGCGAGCAGCGCCATGACCACCACTCGCTGGTCCTTCCCCTGCGACTGCCCTGGCGGGCGCCTCAGTACGCCCAGGCCCAGGCCCAGCGCCCGGCAGGGCGCCAGCGCTCGGTGACCTTAGGGGCCCCTCGGCAGCGCCGAGAAGGTCACCGGCCGCGGCGCCGTCTCCAGGGGCGCCCGCACAGGGCTCGGCGGGGCGCCCGACAGCCGCGGGCCTGGCGGCCGCGGCAGCGCCGGCGGCGGCTTCGGCGGCGCCCCCGGCGGGCTCGCGCGGCGCTGGTAGCGCCCTCGGCGGGCTGACAAAGGCAGCGCGGCGCCTTGCGCGGCGGGCCATGCGTGCCTCATGCGCTTCCCCGTCGGCAAGCACGACGCACGCGTCCTCATCGTCGCTGATCTCGATGGGAATCATCTGGTAGCCAGGAGGTGCTGGCAAGGGCCCGCCTCCGGACCAGAATCCTGCCGCCGCGGAGGCCGACAGCCCAAGGACGGCGTCGGAGGGTCCGCCGTCAGCAACTGCCTCGGCCGCCCGAGGCTGCATAGGCTGCCGGCCAGGGCCGGCCGCGGCGGCGAGACCTGGAACGTCCAGCTCGGCCTCCGACCTGCCAGCCACGCAGCCGACAACCAGGAAGTAGTGCATGACAGGCGGGGCGGCGGCCTGGGCCTGGGCCGTCGCCTCGCCTCTGCCCCCGTGGGGGCCAGTCGCCGCCGAGGCTACAGAGGTGACAGTCATCATCTTAATAAGGGCGATCAGCATTCGCAGCAGGCCTCGGCAGGCTGGGCACGCGGAACATGTGCCTGGCCGTCCCACGCAGCTCCTCGTCCTCCAATGGGATGCTGGCCGCTGGCACCACCGTGGCCATGAGCGTGCGCAACTCGGCGTTGGACAAGCTCTCGATCGTGTCCTGCACCCGCGGCAAGTCTGGCAGGCCCGCTGGGGCTGCCGCTGGCTCCGCTGGCTGTCGCGGCGGCTCGGCAGAAGCAGCGGCACCAGCAGCGGGAGCCTCAGCAGCCGCCTGGGGCGGGGCCGCGACAGCCAGGCCCGCCTCCGCGCCCACGGGGACCAGCGTGGCGTTGGACACGATGTTGGGCAGGTCCTGAATGATGGCCTGGGCGACCGTGCTGGCTTGGTCTCCAAGTCCGCAGCGCTGGAGGACCTCGCCGAGCTTCGACGCGTCGAGGCCGACCGCCGCCATGGGCAGAGAGGCCTGTTCGCCAGCTGCTTGCTGGGCCAACTGACTCCTCTGCTTCGCGAGGTCCTTGATGTTCTGCTCTTGCTGCCGGATGGCGGTCTCAGCCTCCCCGATCTTCCTGAGGAGGGCCGCCAGTCCTTCTCGCTCCTTCCCAAGGCTCTCCTTGGCCTTAAGAAGCTGCCTCTCCGCCGCTTCGAGGCGAGCCGTAACCGTGCGCACTCTGGCGTGGATCGGCTTGGACTCCAGCAGCTTGACGCGGAGGCGCTCGCGCTCCTCCTCGAACTCCTGCTTGCACGCCACCCATGCAGGCCCGCTGTGCTTGGACACGGCGACGAGCTCCTTGTCCAGCTCCTGGAGGCGCTGCCGCGCGAGGTCATCCGAGGGCTCCCCGGACATCTCGACGTCCACGAACTCAGGCGCCGCAGCACCCGGGCGCCCTGGCGGAGGGGCCTGGGCAGCTTCCAGGCGCTCGACCTTCTTGCGAAGCATCTCAAGCTCCTTGGCCTCCTTGCTCCAAGGATTGAGAGTGGACGTGCCGCCGCGCGGAGGCACGTGCACGGACGGCGCGCTCGGGGCGACCTCGGCCTTGAAGCAGATGCGTTTGGCCCGCCCGCACATCCCGCAGCTCGCCGCCGTCGCGACGTTCCACCAGTCATGGCCAGTGGTCTTGTGCTTGCAGAAGCGGCACAGCCACTTGGCCGCGCGCTCGGCGCGCTCGCCACGACGGCGCGAGGGCGCCATGCTGTTGGCGGCCTCGCCGTGGTGAGCTGCGAGCAGGCGCCGCGCCGCGTCCAGGCGAAGGAGGCGCCGCGCCTCGCTCCGCCTCCGCCGCGCGCGCCTATGCCAGGCGGGGGAGCTGGCCCGCTCCCGAGGTGCAGTCGTTGGACCAGGGCCCTGGGCAGGGCGCCTGGCTGGGGTCAAATGGGATGCCGCGCGCGCGGGCGCACGGAGCCCAAATGGCAACCTGGAGGAGGAGGAGGAGGAGGAGGAGGAGGAGGAGGAGGAGGGAGGGGGAGGAGGAAGGGGAGGAGGAGAGGAGAGGAGGGAGGAGGAGGAGGAGGAGGAGGGGCGCCCAAGAGAGCCTGAGAGGGATCCGAGAAGGTTCCAAGATGGCCCCAAGACGGGCCCAATCGCTCGACTTCTTGCATCCCAGCGCACTCACTGATAAGGAGATCTACGTGCCACTTCCTCTTGGGAGCCCGCCCAGACTCCCGCTCGCCCAGGCTCAATCAGCAGCTTCGTCGAAGATGTCCAGTCCAGGCTTTGAGCTCGTCTGGGCCCAGCTGCGAGCACGCACATTCCAGGGCTTCGCAGCGCTCGAAACCTCACTGATGCCCGCTCGCTCAGAGCTCTGCTGAAATCCCACCAGCCCTCTGGGCGTGAGTGATCTGACGAGCTCGTTCTGCTGACCCTCCCCTCCCCCTCCCCCCTCCCCTTCCCCTCGTCCCTCTCCCCCTCCCCTCCCCCTCCCCCCTCTGCTAAACCTCCCCCTCCCCCCCTCCCCCTTTGGGGAAGGGTGTCCCCCTCCCGCCTCCCCCCCACTGGGTCTGGAGGGGGCGGTTCGTGAGCCGTAGGAGCGTCCCTTCTGGCCCACGATGGCTGCAAGAAGGCTCCACACATCCCAAGGTGGCCTCCAATATCGCTCCACGTATACCAAGGTGGTACAAGCTGGCCTCGAACATGCCTCCGATTACCCTCAAGACCGCCCCTAAGACGGCTCCAAATGCCCTCGGAGCCTCCTAAGGCCCCTGGGAGGCCAACATCCGTCAAACACATGCGTTCTTTGTTACTGACTGTACATGTAGGCATCGATATAACAACAATATGTTGGTCACCTCCTCGCCATTTGGCTTCCGATGGGCTCTTCAGGTCTCAGGATGGCTCCAAGATGGCCCAAGGCCGCCCCAAGAGGGGCCCAAGATGGGCTCCAAGACGACTCCAAGAGAGCCTCACGAGGCGATTTTGAGGGCCCCGACGGGGGTACCGGAATTGACGCCGCCTCCGATTTCTATTGATAGCCTCCAAGATGGCCCCGGGAAGGCCCACAAAGCCTTCCGCAAGAGGGTCTACGAGACTCCAAATTCCCCTCCACCTCCCCCTCCACCCTCCCCCCAGACCCCCCTCCACTTTCTCCAAAGTTCCCGAAGAGCTTCAGACAAGCTCCTGGCGATCCTTCTTCTCTTTCCGACGGTAGCGGCCGCCCTCTTTTTGTTCCGTTGCATGCTGATGCACGCTCTTGATATCAGGGCACCTCCCCTGGCGACTACTTTCAGATGGGCTGGTAGGGATTTTTTTGGTCTGCGGGCTCGCGAAGCAGGTCGAAAACCGTCCGAACACTAGTCGGGCCGCGACTAGGCAGCAAGAACAGAGAGGCAAGCGAAGCGAGCGCGCGGGCAGCCACTCAGAAGAGTCAGCAGCCGCAGGCGAGAGCGCAAGCGGCGAGTCGAGTCAGAGCGGGCCGCGCAAAGACGAATTGCCCAAAGCTGGCGGGGCCTCAGGCATCACCACGGCGGACAGGGCCGGCTGGTGGGGGGATGTAGGCTATCACTCAGAAGATACGCGAAGCGTCAAGAATGTGTCCAAAGAAGTAGAGCTCTCGGCCAGGCTTCGCAGGACCCCTCCCTTTCTGGGGATGGTCTGCCGAACTCTCGCGCCTCTTCCGCCGCACGTCTGGACCCCGCTTTCAAAGGGGCGCGTTGCGAAGCCGCTTCCGGACGCAGAGCAGGTCCGTGCACTCAGCCCCGAATGCTCGCTTCTCCTCCCTCCCTGGCCCGAGCCTGGGCGCTCTGGCAGTGGCGAGGTGCTGCTCGACGGCCCCCGGCGCCGGACGTCATGTAGTAGATGCCAAGCACCATGTCCTGGGTTAAGGTCGGGCATGTCCCCCGTACAGGCGGGTTTTGGGCGAAGAAAAAAGTCAACAGCTACCCCAACGCAGCAAACAAGATAGTCGAAACATCGTCCCCAGGCTATCTTGTGACTATTTTCGAATAGTCCTCCTGTATGGGGGGCAGGCCCGACTTAGTTCGGGCGTTGGCAGAACTGGGTTTAGTGGAACCTGGTTTAGTGATTTGTACCGGGGGCGCCCCCCCGTCCCACTTCCACGAACCGGAACTGCCGTCACCCGAAAAAACACCAGCTATGGCAAACCTGGTTTAGTGACTCTGGCCACCTCAAATCGGGAGCGGCCAAGAGGGGGGTGCCCAAGAGGGGGGGGTGCAAATCATGACCGGCGGCATGTGCGCGGCCCAGCGGGGGGACCAGGGACGTAATGGAATAAGAAGAGGCGCCATGAAATCTGGGGAGATATCATGGCCCCCGCCATGATAACCCCCCCCCCTAGTCATCACCCCCCTCTTTGCCGCCCCCGATCAAAGGCTCCGGGGCCCTACCACTAACCGGGTCCCCTTGCCTGGGGTCCTGGCCATACCCGAGTCTGGCCATCGCTCGGACGTCCATTCCCTGTGCTTTTTTCGATTCCGTGCGTGGCTTTTTCGCCAAGTGATCAAGGATGCTCCTCGATGGTCCTCGCCGAAGGAAAAATGCACACGTCCGAGCGATGCCAAGGATTAGTCCTGGGTGGGCCCGATGACGGCGTCGCCCGTGGCTGGCGAGCAGATGTTCTTCGACGGGGCCATCAGCGTCTCCAGCTCGAGCTGCGCCTGGGGGCGCTCGGCGCTGGGCCCGCGCTCCCCCCCTCGACCGGATGCCATCGCTGGGCGCCAGAAAAGGTGCCGTGCTGGCGCCCCTCCCTCCTCCTCCTCCTCCTCCTCCTCCTCCTCCTCCTCCTCCTCCTCCTCCTCCTCCTCCTCCTCCTCCTCCTTCTCCCTCCTCCTCCCTCCTCCTCCCTCCTCCTCCTCCTCCTCCTCCTCCTCCTCCTCCTCCTCCTCCTCCTCCTCCTCCTCCTCTCCTCCCTTCTCCTCCTGCTCCTCCCTCCTCCCTCCTGCTCCTCCTCCTCCTCCTCCTCCTCCTCCTCCTCCCTCCTCCTCCTCCTCCTCCTCCTCCTCCTCCCCTCCTCCTCCTCCTCCTCCTCCTCCTCCTCCTCCTCTCCTCCTCCTCCTCCTCCTCCTCCTCCTCCTCCTCCTCCTCCCCTCCTCCTCTCCTCCTCCTCCTCCTCCTCTCCTCCCTTCCTCCCTCCTCCTCCCTCCTCCTCCTCCCTCCTCCTCCTCCTCCTCCCCGTCCTCCTGCCTCCTCCTCCTCCGCCTCCTCCTCCTGCTCCTCCTGCTCCTCCTCCTCCTCCTCCCCCTCCTCCTCCTCCTCCTCCTCCTCCTCCTCCTCCTGCTGCGCCAAGGTCTGGGAGGGGCCTCGCGGGGGCCCAGAAATGGCGAGCCGGTCCAGGATGCCGCGCCTCCTCGGACATCTGGCCGCTTCCATTTTTTCCGATTCGTGTGCCCCGGAGGTCTGTCGGGGCTCAAGAGGCGGAGTCAATGCAAACGGGGGTCGGTCAGAGCGCCGGGTCTTCCAGGATCCTGCAGAGCCAGGGCCGCATTGACCCGGGCTTGGGTGCAGGATCCTGCAACAAGATCATGCAGGACCTTGGGTTCAGTCGGGCATGTCCCCTACAGGGGGATTGTGGACGAGAAAAAAAAGACCTCCAAATACTCCCGAATGGTCAAACATAGGAAAAAATCGTCCCCCGACGATTTGTTTCCTATTCTTGGATTCTCCTCCTGCAGAGGGATACGCCCGACTTAAACCTTGCCAGATCCTGCAGAGCCCGACCCTGCCCCGGGGCTGGATGGACCGGGGCCCCAGTGGCTCCCCGAGCCCTGGCCGCTGCCCCAAGCTTAGGTCGGGCATGTCCCCCTACAGGCGGATTTTGGACGAAAAATTATTCACTGCGTGGAGCTCCCCAAAGGTGCATCTATTCGCATGGACCTGTCCGCCGTGAATGTCTATGCGCAAGAGCTTTCGAATCTAAACGGGCTTCAGTTGTGACGGTCTGGACATGAATCTAACTGCGAATGAATTGGAGTGTGAATGAGCCTCAGTAGTACGAGCGCGTCTCTGCGCATGAGCCTGGGGCCTCCTGGGGCCTCCTGAAACCTACTGGGGCTTCCTGGGGTCTCCAGGAGCCTCTTGGGGCCTCCTGGGACCTCCTAGGGAGGTTTCGTGCCTCAGGAGAAGCCCAATCTATAGCAACAGACGTACATAAAACATTGCGGATTAGAGCCGCAGGAGAAGGGCAATCTATAGGAATACACGTAAAACACCAAGGACTCGTGCCCCAGCAGAGGCCCAAAATATAGGAACATGGTAAAACATGTAGGATTGTGTACACGGAGAAGGACAATCTACAGAAACATACGTATAACATTAAGGGATCGTGCTCCAGGTGAGGCCCAATCGATAGGAGCATACGTAAAACACATGGAGTTGGAGCCACTCCTGTTGCCTTCTGAGGCCTCCTGCTCCTGGGGCCTCTCGGGGCCTCCTGTTGCCTTCCGAGGCCTCCTGGCGCTTCCTGTGGCCTCCTGGGGCCTCCTGTGGCTTCCTGAGGCCTTCTGGAGCTTCCTGGGGCCTCCTGGAGCCTCTTGGGACATCCTGAGTCTTTCTGTGGCCTCCTGATGCCTCCTGGGACCTCATGCGGTCTCCTGGGGCCTCCTGGAGCCTGTTGGAGTCTCCTATGGCATCCTGAGAAGAATCTGCGCCCACGAGCCTGGCCACCAGAACAGACAAACCGATCGAGACATCCTCAACATCTGGCCCACCTGGGGGGTGAAAATGAGCGCCTCGCTCGAGACATCCTCCATATATGCTCCGAAAGCGAAAGATGTTGGGACAGAAACCAAGCAAACCGCTTGAGACATCCCCACAAAACGGCCGCGAACGGGACCGTGCAATACACCTCGGCGGCTCCCCTTAGGGACGTGAAAATGAGCGCCTCGCTCGAGACATCCTTCAACTCTGCTCCGAAAGCGAAGGAAATTGGAACAGAAAACAAGCAAACCGCTTGAGACATCCCCACAAAACGGCCGCGAACGGGACCGTGCAATACCTCTCGGCGGCTCCCCCTTAGGGACGTGAAAATGAGCGCCTCGCTCGAGACATCCTCCAAATCTGCTCCGAAAACGAAAGATGTTGGGACAGAAAACAAGCAAACCGCTTTAGACTTCCCCACAAAACGGCCGCGAACGGGACCGCGCAATACCCCTCGGCGGCTCCCCTTAGGGACGTGCAAATGAGCGCCTCGCTCGAGACATCCTCCATATATGCTCCGAAAGCGAAAGATGTTGGGACAGAAACCATGCACACCGCTTTAGACTTCCCCACACATGGGCCGCGAACGGGACCGTGTCATACCCCTCGGCGGCTCCCCTTAGGGACGTGACAATGAACGCCTCGCTCGAGACATCCTCCAAATATGCTCCGCAAGCGAAGGATGTTGGGGCAGAAAACAAGCAAACCGCTTGAGGCATCCACACAAAACGGCCGCGAACGGGGCGTGCGTGAGTCTCAGCATGCGTAAGTCTGAGTAGGAGTAGGTCTGAGTATGAGTAGGTCTGCGTATGAATAATTTTGTGTGTGAGTAAGTCTGGGTATGAGTAAGTCTGAGTGTGAGTCAGTCTGTGTATGAGTAAGTCTGGGTATGAGGAGGAGAGGGGAGGAGAAGGAGAAGGAGGAGGAGTCGGCGGCGTCCAAGAAATAACAAGAACCCCATCTTAGGATATGGGAATAAAGAATGCCCCCCAAATGCCCCCACATGGCGAAAAAAAACGTACTCAAAAAATCGTCTCGCTATTATTTTTTGACCATTTTTGAATATTCCTCCTGTAGAGGGACAGGCCCGACTGAACCCCAGGGCTGCTTTTTCGTCCCGCGTCGTGTGCTGACGGCCCCGAGGCCTGGCGAGGGCCCCCTCGGAGGCCGAACAGCGCCCCGAACAACGGCGCCCAGGACACCAGACAGACGAGCCAATGTCCCTCTACAGGCGGATTTTTGACGAAACATTTCAAATACCCCCAATGCCCCCAAATGGCCAAACATTGTAAACAAAAATCGTCCCCAGACTATTTCTGGACTATTTTTGAATACTACCCCTGTAGAGGGACAGGCCCGACTTAATGCCAGCCTCGTCTCACCGCTCTGCGGGGAAGGCGGCACGCCCACTCTCCCATGTGCCTCTTGCACTGCAGGGGGGAGGAGGAGGAGGAGGAGGAGGAGGAGGAGGAGGAGGAGGAGGAGGAGGAGGAGGAGGAGGAGGAAAGTGGGAGGGAAGGGGGAGGGAGAGACACAGAGTCAATGACACCGCCGCTTTGACTTTTTGGGGGGGAGAGCGTCGGATCTCGGGCTCCCCCCCCCCCCCCGCGCTGGCCCGTCGGCAGGACGGCGGGCCCGCACCCCTGCAGCCCCGCCGGCCGGCCGCTGCGCGGTTCTCTCCTCCTCTCTCTCTCCCTCTCTCTCTCGAGGTGCCCCGTGCCGCCTCCCTCTCTCTCTCCCTCCCTCTCTCTCTCCCTCCATCTCTCTCTCTCCCTCTCTCTCTCGAGGAGATGCCCCGTGCCTGGGGAGCCCACAAAGGACGTACGCGCCCAGCCATGTGCATGAGCACGGCCCCTCGATCCGCGAGACCGGCCGCGTGATACGAACCGTTGCGCAGTGCGTACTCTCGAAACCAGCGTGGATTCATGTACATGTGCGTCCTTCTTTCGCTCCTGACGTGCCGCCTCCCCAGGGGCAGGCTCTCGCCCGGGGCCCCTGCTCCTCGAGAGGCCTCCCGCGAGAGTGGTCCGAGCAGGAGGGGTCGGGGGACCCCCCCAGAGATAGGACGCTCCGACAAGAGCTGGAGCGGCGGGGCTCTGTGCGCTTTCGGCCTCCGGGGCTCCCTGCGGGGCCTCGGACCGTCAAAAACCCACTCCGGACGAAACACCAGCCCGGGTACAGGGAGATGGTCCAGGCCTCTGGGGCCCAAGCGGCGAAGAAGTTGGAGCGGCCGGATGCCTGGGCCACGCCGCCTCGCCACTGCGTCGGCGAGGCATCGGCGGGGCATCGGCGGTGCCTCGGCGGTGCATCGGCGCCGTCGGCGGGAAGAAGCCCGGGCTCCGCGTGGAGCCGCATCGCCGATGCGTCGGCGGCGCGGCGCGGCCCTCCGACCCCACCTGCTCCAAGGGCGCCCATCTTCGCGCTTCGCGCTGCGCGGAGCGCGGAGCCGGGGAGGAGCCCCAGGGACGAGCCTCGAACCTCGAACCTCGACCCTGAGGGGCAACGCCGCAAGGGCGCCCAACTTCGCGCTGCGCGCTGCGCGAGAGCGCGAACGACTGCGCGCTCTCGCGCGGACGAGGAGGACGAGGAGGAAGAACCTCGCGCCCTCGAGGGCGCCCCTGCTGCTCGGACCCCCTCTGGAATAAGGCCCAGACGGAGGGACGCCAGAAGCCGAGCCCACAGGCGCGCTCGCCCCCCCTCAGGCCGCCGCCCCTCCGGCCGCCGCCCGGCTGGGCTCGCGGAGTCGGACTGCCCTCGGCGACGGCGACGGCGGCGACCACGACGACGACGGCGGCGACCACGACCACGACTACGACCACGACCACGACCATGACCACGACCACCACGACCCACGACCCACGACCCACGACGACGACCACGACCACGACCACGTCGAACACGACCCACGACCACGACCACGACCACGACCGCGACCGCGGCTACGACCACGACCACGACGACG